GATTCAAACTTACCGAGGTGTTCCCTATCATTATACATGTAGCACTTGCACCCAAAGATGTGAAAATATTTCACATTTGGTGCCTTACCTTTCCATATCTCATATGAAGTTACTCCAGTCCCCTTCCTGCAATAAACACGGTTAATTATGTGGCATGCCGTGTTCACAGCCTCTGCCCACCATCTTAAAGACATGCCCTGAGATGCTAACATAACTCTCGCCATTTCGTGAAGGGTCCTGTTCTTACGTTCAACAATCCAATTTTGCTGTGGAGTGTAGGAGAAGAAAACTGGTGAAATATACCACGTGATTCGCAAAATAACTCAAAACCACGATTCTCAAATTCCTTACCATGATCACTCCGGATTGCCACCAAATTGGTTTGTTTTTCAATTTCAAGTTTTAACGTGAGTTTTTTGAAGGCATCAAGTGCTTCAGACTTATCTTTAAGAAAATCAACCCAAGAGAATCTAGAGAAATCATCCACACAGACTAGAATATATTTCTTACCGCTGTAGCTTTCAACCTGAATTGGTCCCATCAGGTCCATGTGAATCAGTTCCATGACGCGGTTTGTACTGACCTCTGCCAACCTCTTATGTGAAGCCCTTTTCTGCTTTCCCATTTGGCATGATCCGCAAATCCGTGGTTCTTCCTTTTTCAGCTTCGGCAATCCTCGAACAACCCCTGTGGAAGAAAGTTCAATCAGGTGAGGGTAGTTAATGTGACCTAGTTTTTGATGCCATAGTTCAGTCAAATCAACACTGGTTTTATTACATTTCAAGTCAAGTTCCATAAGATAGCAATTATCCCTGGACCTAGTACCAGTGAGAACATGTTTGTTTTTTTGATCAGACACATGACACTGAGTTTTAGTAAAGTTCACATACAAACCCTGATCACATAATTGACTGATACTCAAAAGATTTGCTTTCAGGTTTTGAACCAAAAGAACGTTTTTAAGTTTGGGCAGACCAGGAACATTCAAGCATCCAAATCCAAGAACTTTATTTTTTGCCCCATCACCAAAAGTGACAGAACTGGAAGAGACATGCATAATATTGGTCAAGTTAGATCTCAGACCTGTCATATGACGAGAACAACCACTATCAAAATACCAATCAGAGTTGGATGTGGATTTCAAAGCAAGTATGGAGGATAGACAAAGGTTCTTACGATCCTTAGGAACCCAAATCTTTTTCTGTTCATGGTTCACTATATCAACTTTCAATTTGGGAGCTTTCAAAGGAACACCATGAGGACTCCAGTCATTAATCTGTCCCGTATAAATATCATTATGCATTCTATAGCATTTGGGACGAATATGACCGCGAATCCCACAGTAGTGACAAACAGGTACAAAGTTCTTACCAGTATTCTTGTGCTGAACCTTTGGAGACTGTGACTTACCTTTCTTGGAGTCAAATGAGTGTCCTTCTTTAACAAAAGTTAGATCGGCCTTACTCAGTGAAGAGCTTGATTCTCCAACCTTTCCTTTCAGTTTCTGATTCTGGACAGTCTTACTTGGGTTGGATGAACCAATATGCTGACTCAGTTTTTGAACTTCAGCATATGATGCCCTTGGCTTGTTAATCATTCGAACAACTTCTTCACTCTTTTGCAATCTTTCTTCAAGGGTTGAACAGTGACTCCGAAGTGCCACATGTTCCTCCATTACCCGACCAAGTTCCTCCTTAAGAACCACTATTTCAGTTTCTCTTTCTCCAGCAAGACTTTGAACAGCAAACAGTTCGTTGCGCAGAGATTCAATGGTAAAACTCTGTTCTTCACTGGCCCGCTTGTTGAGTTTATCTCCGTGCTCAACCAGTGCCAGCTTTGCGAAACAACTGTTTAGGTCCTTGTCCTGTTTTCCAATGTGAAGGTCTGATCTGATGAGCTTCTCGTTCAAGTCAACCGTCATTACCCTCATCTTCTGGAGTTCGTTCCGAAGATACTCAATCTCTTTTTCACGTTCGGCATAACGTAATTCCACCGCCTTCATCTTCTGTTTTTGGGCCTGGTACTTGTTGATGATATCCCTTGCCTTGAGACACTTTTCAATGGCGTACTTGTGAAGTACAAGATTTTCGGCAGCAGGGTCTGAGAATTCATCAGAGTCTACCTCACTCAAATTTTTCGCGTAAGAACCTGCATCCGATTCAACATCAGTTAGATGAACAGAAGAAGTAAAGCAGTTGTACTCATTAAGAAGACATTTAGCAGAATTATTAGAGTAGTTAGAGTTCTCAGTCATCTCAGGTTCGTCCTCCTCGTCATCACTGGAGTCGGACCATGTAGCCTTGAACGTCTTATTCTTCTTCTTGAAATTAGGACACTCCTTTTGAAAGTGGCCAAATCTTTTGCATTCGCGGCATTGGTCTTTTTCTACTCCTTGGTTGCCATTCTGAGGCTTGTTAAATTGCATGCCAGACTTCCTTTCTCCAAACTGCTGAATTTGGTTTCTGCTACCTTCAAAGGACCTGTTTCCCTGAAATCTCCTTTTCTGGAATTTCTTCAACTTCGAAACATTTTTGGTAAGCACGCTGAGAGCCTTTGTGATTTCGTCAGGATCAAAAGATTCTTAATCGGATTCATCATTCTCAGCAACCGTAGTACGAACCTTGGCTTTTAGCGCAAGACCTTTCCCTTTGCTTATCCTCATAGAGTCAAAGCCATGGTTGATTTCAAATGTGCGAAGTTCACTTAGAAGATCATCGATGCCAAGCTTCTGAATCCTCTGAAAACTTTCTAGTGCAGTAATTTTAATCCCAAATCTGTCCGGTAGAGTTCTCATCAGTTTCTGCACTTGTCTAGCTTCTGGAACCGGCTCACCAAGCATTGCACTTTGGTTAACCAGATCGCAGAACCGAACATAATACATGTCAATGGTTTCATCCTCCCTCATACGGATCTCATCAAGTTCAGTTGAGACTCTTTGGAGCTTTGATGTTTTAACTGCATTCGTGCATTCGAATTGTCTCTCTAAGATCCTCCAAGCTTCTTGAGCAGTCGTGCACTGGATTATTATCTTGTGCCGGGTGGGATCTACTGCAGACATAATGGCATATAAGGCTCGAAAGTTAGCCTCTTCTGCTTGCCTTTCATCGTCGGTCCAGATGCTCCTTGGTTTCTCAACCAGTACTTTGGTGGTTGATGACTTCCCATCCGATGACTCACCACCCTTAGTTTCAGCAGGAACTTTTTCTTGAAGTGGTAAAGTCCAACCATTTTCAACAGCCTGCCATGTTCCTTTACCAAGGGATCGAAGGAAGATCACCATCATGGATTTCCTGTACGAGTAGTTAGAACCATCAAGAAACGGAGGGCGCGTAACAGACATCCCATCATGACTCATGGTGCTCGATACACAGTCCCAAGGATCTTTATCCCGTAGTTAGAACAGGAACACTGCTCTGGTGCCAATTGAAACGTATACTTATTATGGAGTGCGCTTAATGGTGGTACGAACTGAATTAAGAACTGAACAATGCGGAAGCAATAAACCGAAGATTTTAAAACTCTTCAGGGAAGCGTCCCACTTCCCCTCAGAGCTCTTTCATTGATAGATCAAACATACACATAGCTTGGACTTACAACGACTCGAACTCCCTTCAAGCTTAGCCAACACTACACAGATCCTATCAACTAATTCTCCGGCCACGTCCCGTGGACTTTAATAACCTACACTTACTCCCTAAGTGTATAAACTGTAAAGTAGTTTTGGATGAAACACAAAGAACTAATAAAAACAGCTTCAGTCCTTGAGTTAGTTCGAACTCTCAGACTGAACTGTGTACAACTCAACTTGAAAACAGAAAATACGAAGCTCAATTATTGCTCTATAAATCTTCAAAACTCTGCCGCAGCAATAAGAGCTTGCATACGGGTATTTAAAAAAGAATCTCCTTAGGGTTGGAGTCTTCTACAAGGCATAGGACTCCAACCTTGATTTCCTTCCACATAAATAGCTTATTTAAGGTAAGTAGATCTCCTCTTCTCTCTCCATAATCTCCCCCACAAGCACGGCTCTCCTTTCCTTTATCACTAGCACTTCCAATTTCCTACAAAATAAAATACCATAATAAGATCCACAATATCTTATATATGGAATAGAATAAACTTAATTAAGGAAATAAAATAATTGAGGATCTTCCCTTTTTTATGTAGTTCCAGGTGCTTGTTCGAACCAACGAACTAATGCCAAAATAAAATATCTTTCAAATTATTTCAAAACTTAAAACAAAAAAAAAATCCATTTTTTTATTCAAATTTAATTACATTTTTTTTAATTAGCACTCTAATATACACTACTCTACTAATATTATACGAGTATAGTATAGTATTCTTATTATAAGAATTAACTTAAATTATTTTTCGAAATCTTTTCCCGCCATGCATTAATTACACCCAATTTATAATAATTTTGGACAAGTCCATATAAGCATTAATAATGATTAGTTTTAACATACATTAACAATCTCAATTAATGAAATCTATTCTAAAACCACATATTTTGTAACCTTATCCGATTAAAGTTGTTATTTAGTTTACGAATAAAATCGTACTAGTACGTATCCCGTGCGATGCACGGGACAAAGATATTAAATGAGTTATTTTCACAGCCTTGTCCGTTAAAGTCTAAAAAGTAATAATGTTAGTATCTATTTTCTACCTCTTTTAATCAACGTGAAGTCTATAAAATTATTAAGCCGCCCTCTAGCAAATATGTATGGAGTTATATATTCGTGTCTCATAAATCACAGACATTATGAATAACATTACAAATTATTCATTCAAACTTGTATTCATTGAAAATATGTTAAAATAGTTTATATAACAGCCATTAAATACCACTTTCAATATATTTATAAATAAAAAGTACATAAATTTTCTGGTGTGTTCAAATTTAAAATATCAGAAAAACGATGAACAAAGAAAACAAAGTCAGGTGTTGATTTCAAAGTTAATACCCTAATCGTTGACTGAATAGAAAAGCCCTAATGAGACAATCGGAGACTGCTGCTGACCCGCCGGATGACCAACGGCTTGTTCCTCCCGATCAGCGCGAGGGTGAGTTTCCGCGACTCTCCGAGGCTTACTCGCACCCTTCTCTGTCCTTCGCACCGTCTAAGAAGCGTCGGTCTACGGGAAATTTTGACCATCCTCCGATTGAACCATCCCGTCCATCCTCCCCGAACCTCCGCCCTGCTTCGCCCAAACTGAGTTTTCGGGATTTATTGAGTAAAAATCGCTCGCACGTAACGATCCCTTCCGCCGAGGAGGGCGCAGACTCCATGGAAAGCGGCATCACTGTGGTCATGAATGGTAGGTCAGGGAAAATCTCCTTCTCTGACCCCTTTTGGGAATCGCTGATCCATGACTGGAAACACGCGGTTGTGGTCCGGTTGCTCGGCCACCATATCTCGCTCTTGGTAATGCATAATCGTCTTTATTCGCTATGGCCATCGATTCGCAACCATCCGATGATGGACCTGGATAATGGGTTCTTTGTGGTCCGCTTTGACACACCCGAGGATCAGCTCCGGGCTCTCACGGATGGGCCGTGGGTGATCGCTAACCACTACCTCCATGTCCAACCGTGGTCAGTCGATTTTGATGCAACAGACTTAAGCACGCAGTCTGTTGTAGCTTGGGTTCGGTTTTCGGGCCTTCCGGTGCAATATTATAACTATCAGGTCTTTCGGTCCATTGGGCAGATAATTGGGAAAGTGGTGAAAATTGACTATCAAACTGCTGCTCGTATCCGGGGGAAGTACGCCCGGCTGGCTTGTCTCTTAGACCTCTCCCAGCCGCTTTGTTCGGATTTCATTATTGGAGACCGGGTACAGCGTGTTGAATATGAGAACCTTCCGGACATTTGCTTTTCATGTGGTACCTATGGCCATGCAGCAGCCCTTTGCCCTTTCTCGAAGTCTACTGAGAGGGGTCAGCACCAGGAGGTACCACACACCGAGAAGCCTTCGGGGGGTACTGTGAATAGTGGAGGGGCTGCTCGCGAAAACACCGCAACTCAAACAGGCCTGGCCCGTGGATGATAGCATCTAAACGAACACGGCAGTACACTCGGGCTCCACAAAATCGTGCGGGCCCTTCAAAGCATAATGGATCAGTGGGGTCGGGATCCCGATTTGACACCTTGCTTGAGGAGGATGAAGGGGACCCAGAGACAAATATTCCGGCTGCCCCCAATGGAGACTTGGTATTCACCGCTCGTGCCGGGGAGCAAGCAAAGGGTCTTGGTCCGAAGGTGTGGAAGCCTAAGAGTCTTTCGCGAGGGCCCAAGCCGACGCATACGGCGACTAAGGTGGCCAGGGATGACAACTTACTGGGGAGTGAGACAACATTATCGAAGCCTCAGGGACGCCCAGAAGCGGTGGGCCGTAGCAGTGGTTTGAGTCGGGAGAGTACTGTGAATCGTGGGAAAAGTGTGGCTCAGGATGGCTGTTTCATGATTCCCGCCGTTAGTGATCTGGATCCTACCAAGCACCAAGCCGTGACTTTTGTTACTTCCCAGCCTGTGGAACGCGACATGGTGGAGGTATCTCACTCATCGATTGTTGTTCCCCCATCTCTCCAGGAGGATCCACCGGATGCATCACAATCGCTTTCGGGTGAACCAGACTACCCCATGGATGAGGGTGGGACATCGGGAACTAAGGGCATCGTTAGCCCTATTTTGGATTGAGGGTGCCGTCCTTTCCCTGTTTGTAGTGCTGATGAATTTTTTAGCATGGAATGTGCAAGGAGCAGGCTCAAGTAGATTCCGGAGGGCCTTCTCTACTATTATTACTTCTCACCAACCGGAGGTGGTAGCTGTCTTTGAACCTAAGATTAGCGGCAGTAGTGCCGATTGTTTTATTCGGTCTTCGGGTTTCACGCGGTCCTTTCGCGTGGAGGCCTCTGGCTTCGCCGGAGGTATTTGGATCTTGTGGAAAGAGCCAGCTGAGGTGACTATCTTGCAGTGTCACAAACAATTTGTTCATCTTCATGTCATGATGGCGGGTAAGGAATCCCTGGCTACCTTTGTCTATGCTTCGCCCCAACCGTCAAGGAGGAGGGTCCTATGGCGCCTTCTCCATGATCTGGCGAGGTCCATTCGAGGTCCGTGGTTGATTGGCGGCGACTTCAACAGCATCCTCCGGCCTTCTGAAAAATCTGGTGGCTCCCCGCATGCAGGCCGGATATGTACTGCTTTTTCTGAGTGGGTATTCGACCATGGCATGCACGAGGTTAAGACCGATGGCACCCAGTTCACTTGGGGACGTCGGGATCTATTAAAGAAGTTGGATCGTTTTCTGTGTAATGAGGAGTGGCTGGATCTTTTCCCAGAAGCATTCGTCATGCATGCTCCTCGTATCCAATCGGACCATAACCCTTTGGTAGTGAGATGTATGTCTGGGCGACGCCCTCCGTCGGGAACCAAGCCCTTCCGGTTTTTAGCCCCATGGCTCTTACATGAGGGATTTAAGGACGTGGTTTCCGAATGTTGGCCAGCGAATCGACGGTTTGTGGAAGCGGCCACCTCATTCACTAATGTGGCTAGGGATTGGAATTTTCGCACCTTTGGCAATATCTTTCAAAAGAAGAAGAAGCTACTGGCCCGGATCGGCGGAATCCAACGTTCCCAGCAGCACCGTCAGTCATCAAGCTTATCCCAGTTGGAGCGGACCTTGAGCGCTGAACTCGAAGACGTCATGCTCCAGGAGGAGATTCTCATGATCCAGAAATCCAGGCGCGATTGGACGTTGTTTGGAGATAGAAATACTGCTTTTTATCACAAGCAGGTGAAGGCGAGGAGGCGCCGTAATATAATTGTCGCTTTAAATGACGATGCTGGTAATTTGGTGAATAACGAGGAGGAGCTCCAACGAATGGCGACTTCGTACTTTCAGTCTATTTATCAAACTGACCAGCCGATGCCCACCCCGCACGCCTCTTGGTCGGATTTTCCGCCCTTACGGGCTCACGAGGCGCGGCTACTCCAGAGGGAGGTGTCGAATGAGGAGATTTATCGTGCCCTACAGACGATGAACCCTTTGAAGGCGCCGGGCCCTGATGGCTTAAACGCGCTGTTTTTCAAGAGCCAATGGGAGATAGTGGGACCGTCCGTCTGTCAGGTGATCAGAGATGTGATCCATGGTGGTGTCATGCCGACCGAAATCAACAAGACTCTTCTGGTCCTTATTCCCAAATGGGACCATCCCGAATCGATTCAACATTTCAGGCCTATCAGCTTACTGAATGTAGTGTATAAACTTATGACAAAGGTTCTCTCTAACAGACTTAAGCCTCTCCTCCCGGGGCTCATCGGAATGGCTCAATCGAGTTTTGTTCCGGGCCGGCATATTCATGATAACATAATTGTTTGCCCAGGAATTGATTCACTCCATGTGAACTAAATCTGGCCCCACGGGATACATGGTGGTTAAAGTTGATCTCGAGAAGGCGTACGATTTCCTTAGATGGGAGTTCGTTGAGGCTACCCTTCACTTGGCGGGCCTTCCCTCGGCCTTTGTGAAGGCGGTCATGACTTGTATTGCCTCTGCCTCCATGCAAATTATGTGGAATGGGGTGCCGGGGGAAGCATTTCGGCAGTCGAGGGGAGTCCGTCAAGGAGATCTAATCTCCCCGTATTTGTTCGTTCTTTGCATTGAACGCCTAGCTCATAACATTCAACGTGCTGTCAACCATGGTGAGTGGCGTCCAATCACTATCGGGAGGGGCGGCGTGCACGTTCCGTACTTACTGTTCGCTGATGACCTTCTCTTGTTCCTTGAAGCTTCGGTTGATCAGGCTGCCACAGTTCGGGAGGTCTTAGCCAATTTCTGTAATGACTCGGGACTGCGGGTTAGTGAGCCCAAGACCACGATTTTCTTCTCTAAGAACGTTCATCCTGTTGACTGTAACTTGATCTCGACTATGTTGGGGTATACGAGAGTGGACGACCTTGGTCATTATTTGGGGGTTCCAATCTTGCATGGTCGGGCCAAGCGACAAACTTATGCTCGTATTCTAGAGAGGGCCGAATCTCGTCTCTCCGGGTGGAAGGCGGCGTCCCTATCCTTGGC